TATCTGACACGCTTATTTGATCGATTGCAATAACCCGTGCTTGTCACAGCTGATGTAAACGTCTAAACTGTACGCCAATATACTAGCTTATCCACCTCAATTAATTCAGGTTGTCAGGGCATTCGGAGTGCATTCCGAGGGAAAATTAACTAGGCTTATCATACACCACTGAGGTTACAGAACCCGCTTCCGTCCATGAGTTGAAGCAACTTGCTCAGTGGGCATTTGGTTCATTTTTATTTCATAAATTAATAACCACAGCTAATAGATGAGTATCTGCCTCCTCAATTGCGAGTTGATGACAGCTAAGGCGGAGCTGGTGAGGCCATATCCTTGCACACGTACGCACGCATGCACAGGTGCCCTGGCACTCGCCCGCATCCAATTGGTTGATTATGGACAATGAGCGACCTCCACGCACCATGTGCGACCGTTTGGCTCCACACACATTCAGTAAGGGGTATTTAAGTTGAATCGTGTCCGTCGGTCAGAGACTTGTGAATTAGATTGACTGATGGAGCCGTTTCTGGGGTCGTGGAAGTTGGAAACGAGCGAGAATTTCGACGACGTGATGAAAGAACTCGGAGTGAGCTTGATCACACGCAAAATCGCCCAAAACATAAGTCCAATCCTCATTGTCTCCAGTCTTGGAGATGGACAGTACAAAATGAGGTCGGAAAGCGCCTTCAAGAACACAGAGTTTGAATTTATGTTGGGTGAGGAGTTCGAGGAGGAAACTCCAGACGGCCGGATTGTCAGATCCACCATCACGATTGACGGCAACACTTTGAAACAGGTTCAGGTTGGGAATAAAACCACTTACATCGATCGTGTCGTTGAGGGCAACAAACTAAAAGCGGTAAGTCCTCGCCATCCGATTTTCCATCATCACGCCTGCCTTGTTGTGTTTGCAAACTCCTGACTTTGTTTCCGTACAGGTCATTCAGGTAGGTGGAGCCGTGAGCACGCGAATCTACGAAAAGATCTAAAATGCGAGGCGTTTGACGTGGACACACATCTCTTCAATCAACAATCACTCTGATTTGCAGTCCTACCACAAGAACATACATAAATGCGCATGTGCATTTTGCAACCTGATTTCTATTTTTGTCTATGGGTTTGCGTGGAAACAGTAGCCTTGCATCGCCGCCGCCGCCGCCACCTCACCAACGGCTCTTAAGGGAGTCGGGTTGGTTTGTGATTAACTAGCACGAAGGGGCTTTTTGTTGGATGTGCCCACGGCGCTCTCGTGATTGTCGGACGACTGCGTAAGTGAGCGCGTACTCAACGTGCGTGTGTTGACCACGGGAGCGTTGGAGGCGAACAAGCATTTTTAACTCATGTTTTCGTGACTTAATGTTACGATCTCCAGATTGTGTGGTTGGCGTTGCACTCACAAGTTGGTAACTAGTTACTGATGGTAGAACCTATTCATTAAAACTTGGGCTATTCATTTAAAAGTCTAGGTAGTTGGGAGCCTGCTGTGGTAAGCTGAGCTGGAGCGAATTCAGTGAAATGATGAGCCACGCGAATTAGCAAATTATATCTGTCAATACAAATTTAAGTGTTAAACACTGATTAAACTCATGTTCAGCTCGCACATGAATAGACCAACTGCAGGACAGGTAGTTGCTCTGTCAAATATTCCTTCCAAGTTGAGCATACTCGTGCAGGAATTTGAAATTTGACCTCTGTGTGTGTGTTTGTGGTTGTGTGAAAAATCATGAAGCCATTAGACCGTTGTAGGCAGATGTGACTCCTGCGAGTCGAATATGTCGCGAAAATTGGTGGCAGGCATCAATGAACACGCATTCAATCAGTCATCCTGAGTACTCTTCGCGTTACGATGTTCGTTTAGAGATCGATGTTTAGCAATGTCACCTTATCCTGTACAAACTGACGACTTATTACCCTGCACAAACACGCTATTAATGTAGCGGTAAATGGGCTACTGTACGGCCTCTACTCTATCTTGGGGGAGTCTTAACAAAATCGAAGTTGCTTTTCATTGAAACTCAACTAGTCCACACACAAAACGATTTCCGTGGCTGACTTCAGGATCGAATAAACTCTACACACAAACAAATCAAAGTCGAAAATAAAAGCAATTCTTGTAAACGGTTGGCTTCCAACAAACCCACATTGGCGACAATCCACCGGTGCAACTATTAGCCAATTACTAAAGGCTCTGCGTTGCTTGACGAAATCAGCCCAAGTGTCGGACAGAACGTTTGAGAAGTTGGACAAGACCATCTCCGAATGGGACTTGGTTTCAAACGAAATCGAGTGTAGCGTGCAATGCCCGGCTTATATATCAATAGCCAAGCGAACTAAGTCGCAACCGTTAATGGGCAGTTAGTGTTTGAGTGGTGGGAATTTTTACTGATGTTTTAATCAACGGCGGTGGGATGACAAATGAGAAATGAAGAATTAGATAGATTAATGGTGCAGATGTGGATAGGAGGGCGGCACATTGCAAGGCGTGCTTGATGTTCTGAAACGAACCCAAATTAGTACATGTGTGTGAACTAATCGCGTGTCGAAAAATCCGTGGTTTACTGAATTTTGAATTTCGGTATCTACGTGTGACATTTAAACAGCTCCATATTTGTCTTATCTTTTATGAAAACCCACACACACACGCACTGACATTGAAAGCCAACTGCCAACCCCGTACTTAACTCCCTATGCGTCCTTTAAGAGCGCAAGCAACTTGCACTGGAAGCTAAACACTGCCGACACCCGTCGGGCAACAGGTCCACTCCTGCTTTATTGACAATCCTGTTAACACTCGCGTACACCTTGTGAATTACAAGGTAATAAATCTCATCATTGCGCTTCAGATGTCAATTAAACTGCCATTACGGGCGATTAGAGGAGTACTATCTCTCGTTAAATTGACTCATTGCTGGCGTTCTTTTATTAATCCAATCAACGAGGTATGATGCCGAATTTTTGCATTAACCTCTAACTATAATTAAATTAAATTTTTCCATCAATATATGTTTGACACCAGCCTGATCAATCATGATCTGAACATTTAGGCATTAACATGCATGTGGCAGTTTTGTTGCCAAGATACTCGTTCTTCTGCTTTGCTCATTCGTCTCAGCCGGATCATCGAGCATTGGCGACGACCAATAGCCTACCTTAACCATACTTGCTGTCAACATTCCAGATATTCTACCGGCTACAACTGGTCTCGTAGGTTCATCTACGATAAATCTGCTGATTCGATGTTGAAAGAGAGTACTTGCATTACATACATTAAGGAACAAACCTGCAGTGAATTGTTCTAATTGAATTACATCATTTTGTCGACAATGAGGATTTTTACATGCCTTTGTCTCCGTACACTCACAGTCCATGTGTTCAAACGCCCACACCACAGTAACTGAGTAATAGTTAGTGTTGGAGCCCGATCTGAAACTATGTAATCAGTGAATATGTGGGAAGGTCAAAGATGAAGGAGGCCTAACTGTTCATCACATCGAGTAGTCTGACTCTGCATCTGTAGCTGGTCACGGGTATCACATGGAGGATTAGAGGGGCTTGTTAAAACATACATGGGTATAGTTAAAAATCAAAATTGGGGTTCAGTCTGATGGAAAAAGGGTTAGAGCACACTGAGCGACAGGTGACCTTACGGGTGAGTAAACATGCGAAGCGGTTGTGATGTCGGTTACGATCCGTTACAAACCCTCCTGTATGGATCACTCCACACACCTAACACGCACAATGATACGCGAACAAACTCTTTTGAGTCACCTGATTAAGGGTAGTGTCTTCGTCGCCTCTCGCAATCCTGGCCACATCAGAGGTATAAACTGCAGCGCCACACCATACCAAATTGATTTGACAGGCTTACTAGTTCGTTTACAATAACCCCTGTCTGCCGTAGTTGATGAAAACGTCCAAACTTCACGCCAATATCCTCGCTTATCCACCTCAATCAATCCACGTTGTCAGGGCATTCGAAGTGCATTCCGAAGGACAATTAACTAGGTTAATCAGTCACCACTGAGGTACCAGAACCCGATTTCGACCATGAACTAAATTGCTCAGTAAGCATTTGTTTCATTTTCATTTCATAAATTAATAACCACAGCTAATAGATGAGTATCTGCCTCCTTAATTGCGGGTTGATCACAGCTAACCAGAAGCTGGCAAGGTCGTAGCTATGCGCACGTACGCACGCATGCACAGGTGTCATGGCGATTGCCCCTATCCGATTGGTTGATTATAGCTAATTAGCGACCTCCACGAACCATGTGCGAGCGCTTGGCTCCACACACATCCAGTGAGAGGTATTTAAGAAGAATCGAGTCCGAGGCTCAGTGATTTGTGAAGTTGATTGACAGATAGAGCCGTTTCTGGGGTCGTGGAAGTTGGAAACGAGCAAGAATTTCGACGAGTTGATGCGAGAACTCGGAGTGGGCTTGGTCACACGCAGAATTCTCGCAAGCATAAATCCTACCCTCATTGTCTCCAGTCTCGGTGGCGGAAAGTACAAGATGCGGTCGGAAAGCGCCTTCAAGACCACCGAGTTTGAATTTAAGTTGGGTGAGGAGTTCGAGGAGGAAACTCTAGACGGCCGGATTGTCAGGTCCACCATCACGATTGACGGCAACACTTTAAAACAGGTTCAGGTTGCGAATAATACCACTTACATCGATCGTGTTGTTGAAGGAAACAAACTAAAAACGGTAAGTCGCCCATATCCGATTTTTTATCATCACGCCTGCCTTGTCGTGTTTGCAAACACTTGGCTTTGTTTCCGTGCAGATTTTTACAGTAAATGGAGTCGTGAGCACGCGAATCCACGTGAAGATCTGAAATACGAGGCGTTTATCGTGGACACACATCTCTTCAATCAACAATCACTCTGATTTGCATTCCTACCACAAGAACATACATAAATGCGCATGTGCATTTTGCAACCTGATTTCTATTCTTGTCTATGGGTTTGCGTGGAAACAGTAGCCTTGCATCGCCGCCGCCGCCGCCACCTCACCAACGGCTCTTAAGGGATTCGGGTTGGTTTGGGCTTAACTAGCACGAAGGGGCTTTTTGTTGGATGTGCTCACGGCGCTCTCGCGATTGTCGGACGACTGCGTGAGTGAGCGTGAACACAACGTGCGTGGGTTGATTATGGCCTATTCAATTAAAAGACCAGGTATTTGGCAATCTGCTGTAATAAGCAGAGCTATAGTGAATTAACTGAGATGATGAGTTACTTGAATCGGCAAATTATATCTGTCAATGCAAATTTAAGTCTTAAACACTGATTAAACTCATGTTCAGCTCGCACAGGGCAGTTAGTGGCTCTGTCAAATATTCCTTCCAAGTTGAGCATACTAGTGCAGGAATTTGAAATTTGCCCTCTGTGTGTGCGAACATTGGTGGCAGGCGTGAACAAACACGCCTTCTATCGGTCATTCTGAGTACTCTTCACGGTGCGATGTTCGTTTCGAGATTGATGTTAAGCAATGTCACAATTTCCTGCACAAACCGACGACTTATTACCCTGTGCAAACACGCTATTAATGTGGTAGTAAATGGGCTCCAATACGGCCTCCACTCTATCTTGGGGGAGTTTTAACAAAATTAATGCTGCTTCCTTGCAACTCAACCAGTCCACACACCAAACGATTCTCGTAACTTATTTCAGGATCAAATCAACTCATCCGTCAAACAAATCACAGATGAAACAAAAGGCGATTCTGCTAAACGGTTGGATTTCGCCTAAAGTACATTTGTAACAATCCACCGGTGCAACTATTAGCCAATGACTAAAGGTTCTGCGTTGATTGCAGAAATCAGACAATGTGTGGACAGAACGTCTGAGAAAGTAAAGAAACCATCTCCGAATGGTCCATGGTTTCAGACGAAATCGAAATATAATGCCCGACTTAATTTCCAATAACTCGAGTCACTGAGTCGCAGCTGTGGATTGGTAGTAAGCGTGCGAATGGTATCAAGGTTTACTGGTGTTTTAAACAAATGCGGCCGCATGACAGGTAAGAAATAATGCATTGGATAGATTAATAGCGCAGATGTGAATGGGAGGGCGGTACGTTGCGTGGTTGATGTTCTGAAACGAACCCAATTAGCTACATGTGGTTAAAGTGCAACGTGAAAAACAAACAACGATTCTAACGCAAACACGATGTGGACTTGGTATTGAACTACTGATCCAGCTCCAGTCTGACGCCTTGAACCCGGATCAAATTAGTTGGTGACGTTTGGTGTAGTACCCGCAGAGATGCGAGGCGTTGCAGTCACGGTGAAGTGAGGTCGTGTAAGCATATGTCGTTAAATTCTGCTTATTCAACCCTTAAATGCGGTCGCTCCACCTCCTACACAGGGTTCCCCTTGTCGCAGCATGTCGCAAGCCGCTCGATTCCTCAACTCATCCTTCAATAGCTCGAATATTTATCTTCGAGTGTCCCCACACATTGGTCTCGATGTCAGCGTATGTATGACTCGCACATTCGAGCTGTAAATGCACACGTGCAAACACCACACACGACACAACGACACCAACGTGGTTGACATCTGAAGTAAACGATTGTGTCCCGTCCTCTCCAGTTTTTTCCCTCATCTCGGGCATCAGACAAGCCACTGTGTCATTTATTTTTTACCTATGTCTAATAAGTTTGGATGCATTTTGACGAATCTGGCATAGTGGCATGGTCTGCTGTAGCATAGCGACAAGTGTGTACGACTGATTCGGTGTTGATGAATACAACAATTAATTTTGCAGAAGCACGCAATCCCGTTTCAGCACAATTACGCGAACAATTCAGGCTGGCTTTAAATGATTACATTTTAAGAAATACCTTAAAATATCTAAGAAGAATCTTTTTATTTATTGTATTCAGAATTGGGATCAAACGGCACGAGTGCATTTTTACCATAATAAATTCCAATTGCACATAGTTGGACTCGTTCTGATAAGACAAATGTATTAGCATACAGTATCAACATGTAACATCACGATGGTGCCAAAATGAGACGCTCTACATGATGCGGAAACCATCTTTTCACGGTAGCTGCCGAACTGGTTTCTCGACCTCAAAAATACTGGATTCGAATTTGTCTTACAGAGGGTTCGATGAAGCCAAGAATTTTCTTCAACTGAAAGCTGCTCAGGTACTCGACAACGTGCATGCACACTCACATATGGTGCCATCACTTCTACGTGTGCTCACATCGTGCGTACTTCCTATCAATTAATCACATGAAGAGCATTCCTCTTGGCCTCAATTCGGGATTTCCTACAATGCAACATATGCTATTCAGACTTGTAATCGGCTTCTCTTCTTTCGCATTTCCTCACAGTTTCGCATCTATTTACCTTACTCCTAAGCCCTTACTTCTAAATCTGTTTACTGCAGTCGGTAAAATGCTGGTTTATTCAAATAAGCATTAATGTGTCGGCTGATCACGAGTCGACCACGAAGTTATGTGGCTGTCCCTGACGAACAGTCACGATCATGCCTCGGCAGACACACCACCACCAGTGAATGCTATCAGCTTTTGCAGTCTGCAACAGGTCTCCGCATAAATTCAATTGCCTGAAAATGCCCTTCAATCTCCAACAGGCACTGTATGTATGCAGATAGTCCAAAGATGTCCTATCAAATTCACGTGGTATATATGAACTGTGCAGTCGGCATCTTCGCCTTCATTCCGCAGATTGCAATTTCACTTATTTTTTGCCCTATGTGTCGATAGGTAAAGGCTGTGGAATATATGTGAGTGCAGTTCAACAGTCAACAGGTAGGCTATTTTAACTACTAACACCAACTGCAAAGCACTTGTGTGACAGTTTGCTGCTTGGTGAATTCGTCCACAGTGCAACAATAAAACTTGCCCCTAAATGCGTTGCCACCCTCACAGAAAAAGCCACGTTTGCCACACCCATATTACTGTATTCCAATGCTGCATGTACAACGCAAGACCAAATCCGCTTGATCGGCACATGCGGGCTCCTTACTTTCTCCTGTATTCTCGATGGCAGATTATGTCGTCCACTTTGGCGGTCTACAATGGTGCGGAAATGACGATGAGTTGATTGGTAATGGCGAAATAGCACGCACGACTGAGCACAAGCTAATGCCATCTTACCACGCTCAAGGTGTCTCCATCGACCACTCTCTCCACCTCGAATATCTTCTCGCCAACCTGCACATGTTTCATTGTGTTGCCGTTCACCGTGACTGTTGACCTGACGTGGCGACCGTCTGGAGTCACCTCGTCACACTCCTCGTTCAACTTGAATTGGAACTTGCCCTTACTGTGGATGCTGTCCACCTTCATTTCGTACAATCCATCACCTAAGTCGGTGATTACGAAGTCGGGTTTCAGGGTGTTGCCCAACTTCGCCATGACGGCATTCACTCCCAATTGATGCATGATTTTGTCGAAGCCGTCGGTCTTCTTCAATTCCCACCTTCCCACGAACTGCTCCATGATGTGCTTGCTTCAACGACTTCACAGGCTGGTGCGAACACCAACTCCCGTTGCTTATATATATGGGTGTGTGTGTGTGTGTCACTCTGTGTGTGTGTGTGTGCAGAGGCTACGTTTGAACGAGGCCCTCTTGTCTCGAGAGCATTGTGCACCGAGCGTTTGAACCAATCAGCGTGCTTCATCGATGCATGAAGTGGCAAGTTGACACGCATTCTACTCAAGCTGAACCGTGTAGCATGTGGGATCGCCTGACTCGATGTACTTTCCCTCTGCCGATAAATCACCACCACTGCTATATTGCCGACCGCACTTGGTCTAGATCTGTTGAGATACATTTGAGCATATTAGTCCTGTCTCATAGAAACACATTTCGTTAAATGAAATTAACTCACTGTTTCACAGTCAGACCAATTATAGGTTAAACTACATCGGGTCGTTGTCCAAATTCGCGGGTACTCAAAATCTGGTCACGTTCTTATTGTCAAATAGGTACCTCCACCTTACGCTCTACACTGTTAATAGATCATCTGATCATACTGATTTTGGCCATACCACATCGCAATATTGTCTCGACAATTAAAGCGATATTTTTCATGTGGGGTTCGATAGAGCGGTTTTTTGCCAATATCAATCACTAAATCTCACGACAAATCGTTGGCTAAATGAGACTGACTCAGCTTTTACAGAAAACGGTCTGAATCACCTCGACGATGAATTTATCCTTTCTGTTTTACTGCACATTGGTTCAGTAAATGGGCAACATATCCACTGAAGAAAACGCAGCACTTGATTGCTGCTGATGCATTTTGTGCGGATCATGATTGCTCGAATGGAGTCGGAACTAGAATGCTAGACAGGGTCTATGATGGGTAATGGTCGTTTAATGACACACATCAAAATAATCCCATTATAATATCTCAGGAGAATGTCTAATTATGCATAAGGAATGCAGTGAAATGCCCAAAGATAAAAGGAAGATGTTCGCGTTGCATCTTCTTGCACCGCCCAACTTCTGGCGTATTCTTGTCTGCTGACAAGATCATCAACATTCGAGGTCTAAAATGCATGACAGGTGTGCACAAACATGAGTACGAACAAGGTGGTACCACGTGTGATCATGGTGGTTGTCTAGCAATCGCAGCTCACTGTCAACATCTTATCACACCCGATGATCCCTTCGATGTGAGTGGTCTTTGCTCCAACCTGCACGAGCTTCATTGTGCTGATGTCCATCGCGATGGTATACTTCACTTTGTGACCGTCCGCAGTCACCTCATCACGCACATTCGACAATTCGAACTCAGTGACGTTAATGTTCTTGAAGGTGCTCTCGAGCTTCAAGTAGTGACGTCGGTCTTCCACTCTGGTGACAGTGGCGGTGGGTTTTGGCGTGTTGCCGACTCTGCCATCATGCATTCAACATCGATACCACACAAAGTCGAACTTCCAGCGCCATCCAATGTCCATTTGCTGCCTTGTGGTGTGCTGATTGCCACGACAGCATTCCTCAAGCTACATTGGGACGCAACGTGCGTGCGGACTCAAGGAGAACGTATCACGCTGCGCACGTGACTCTCGATTGTGCCAAATAAGATGGCCACATGTACAGTTTCACTAAACTGAATGTGTAGTGAAGTAAATAAATTATGCATTATTAAAAATTAATTAATGTATCTTCCTCTATTTTGCTAGATATTTCAAAAGATTTATTACAAAAGACCAGCCTGAATTGTTCGCGTGATAATGCGAGTAAATAG